TCTGAATTTTTGTATTCTTGTAGTTTATTCATACCTTGACTCTGTGAAATACAAAACATTTTGCCACCAAAGCTGGTTTCGGTGCGTTTTGATGCAGCGTGCTGAGCTAGTCTAGTGTTCGATATTTTAGTATGTTATTTTCTAATATAAAGGTAACAATTATTTTCGTGATAATTATATCTAGGTTTTTAGGCGCTATTGCACTTTCGTACCTCTACCAGTTCCCGTGGTCGTAGGCACTTGAAATTTTCAGAGGATGTTAAGGGGGGCTAGCAATGACCACACACCAAATTTCAGCCGAATCGATAAATAACTTTTTATTTTACCGACCTTTTAATTTCTAACGAGAGAGAACTTCATCCGTTTGACGCCATTTGCTTTGTTTACTAATTAGACTTGAATAACAAGACACTAAGACGGAAACCGACTCGAATAACAAGACACTTAGACGGAAACCGACACACTGCACTAGCTGCCTAACACTGCAGTTCATAAAAATTAATATAATTTTCGTATACTTTAATTTTTGCGCGAAGCCACCATTTTCTATAAAATACTATTTGGTGTTGATCAGTGGATTGGCCTTTAGGTGTGAATATTGCCGTGACCTTGATTTTGACCTTGAGGCCAAACTTCCCATCCATATCGGGGCCTTTGCGTTTATGCTTGCCGTGGCCTTATTTCCTACTGTATTATCAAAGTTAATGTTCGAGGTGAAAGCAGAGATGACGTCCTTCAGAAAAGATAATTGGGTTAAAGTCGTAGGTCAAGGTCATGTTACAGAAAACTAAACTCAAACTTTTCAAAGTCATTTTTGGGACATTTGACCTTGACTTACGACCTTGACCCCGTAACCATTTTCGAAGGCTATCACATTGGCTTGAATCATGAACGTTTACCTTGGTCCTATCGCACACTGCTCGGTCAGAAAACGGTCAAACGCAGAGGGTCCGTGTCCGAAAGGAAGTCAATGGGCGTGGTCAATGTGAAAGGTCGTGCTGACCTCCACTAGTCACCGTTAACCATCCGTAACCTTGACTCTGACCTTGAGTCCAAACGTCCCATCCATCTCGGGCCCTTTGCGTTTATGCTTGCCGTGGCCTTATTACTAACTGTATTATCAAAGTTAATGTTCGAGGTGAAAGCAGAGACGACGTCCTCCAGAAAAGATAATTGGGTGAAAGTCGTAGGTCAAGGTCATCTTACAAAAAACTAAACTCGGACTTTTCAAAGTCAGTTTTGGGACATTTGACATTGACTTACGACCTTGACCTCGTAACCATTTTCGAAGGCTATCACCTTGACTTGAACCATCGACGTTTACTTTGGTCCTGTCGCACACTGTTCGGTCAGAAAAGGGTCAAACGCAAAGGGCCCGTGTCCGAAAGGAAGTCAATGGGCGTGGTCAATGTGAAAGGTCGTGGTGACCTCCACTAGTCACCTTTAACCATCTGTGACCTTGACTTTGACCTTGAGTCCAAACTTCCTATCCATCTCGGGCCCTTTTCGTTTATGCTTGCCGTGACCCTATTTCTTACTGTATTATCAAAGTTAATGCTTGAGGTGAAAGCAGAGACAACGTCCTTCAGAAAAGTTAAAAGGTCAAAGTCGTAGGTCAAGTTCATGTTACAGAAAACTAAACTCAAACTTTCAAAGTCAGTTTTGGGACATTTGACCTTGACTTACGACCTTGACCCCGTAACCATTTTCGAAGGCTATCAACTTGGCTTGAATCATGGGCGTTTACCTTGGTCCTGTCGCACACTGCTCGATCAGAAAACGGTCAAACGCAGAGGGGCCCGTGCCCGAAAGGAAGTCAAGGGCGTGGTCAATGTGAAAGTTCGTGGTGACCTCCACTAGTCACCTTTAACCATCCGTGACCTCGACTTCGACCTTGAGTCCAAACTTCCCATCCATCTCGGGCCCTTTTCGTTTATGCTTGCCGTGACCCTATTTCTTACTGTATTATCAAAGTTAATGCTTGAGGTGAAAGCAGAGACAACGTCCTTCAGAAAAGATAAATGGGTCAAAGTCGTAGGTCAAGGTCATGTTACAGAAAACTGAACTCAAACTTTTCAAAGTCAGTTTTGGGACATTTGACCTTGACTTACGACCTTGATCCCATAACCATTTTCAAAGCCCATAATCTTGGCTTGAACCATCGACGTTTACCCTGGCCCTGTCGCACACTGCTCGGTCAGAAAACGGTCAAACGCAGAGGGGCCCGTGTCCGAAAGAACGTCAAAGGGCGTGGTCAATGTGAAAGTTCGTGGTGACCTCCACTAGTCACCTTTAACCATCCGTGACCTTGACTTCGGCCTTGAGTCCAAACTTCCCATCAATCTCGGGCCCTTTTCGTTTATGCTTGCCGTGACCCTATTTCTTACTGTATTATCAAAGTTAATGCTTGAGGTGAAATCAAAGACAACGTCCCTCAGAAAAGATAATTGGGTCAAATTCGTAGGTCAAGGTCATGTTATAGAAAACTGAACTCAAACTTTTCAAGGTCAGTTTTGGGACATTTGACCTTGACTTACGAGCTTGACCCGTAACCATTTTCAAAGCCCATCATCTTGGCTTGAACCATCGACGTTTACCCTGGCCCTGTCCCAAAAATGAAATAAGGTCACGGCACGCATAAACGCAAAGGGTCCGAGATGGATGGGAAGTTCGGACTCTTAGGTCAGGGTCAAGGTCATGGATGGTTAACGGTGACTAGTGGAGGTCACTACGACCTTTCACATTGACCACGCCCATTGACTTCCTTTCGGACACGGGCCCCTCTCCGTTTGACCCTTTTCTGACCGAGCAGTGTGTTACAGAACCAAGGTAAACGTCCATGATTCAAGCCATGGTGATAGCCTTCGAAAATGGTTACGGGGTCAAGGTCGTAAGTCAAGGTCAAATGTCCAAAAAATGACTTTGAAAAGTTTGAGTTTAGTTTTCTGTAACATGACCTTGACCTACGACTTTGACCCAATCATCTTTTCCGAAGGACGTCGTCTCTGCTTTCACCTCGAACATTAACTTTGAAAATACAGTAAGAAATAAGGCCACGGCAATCATAAACGCAAAGGCCCTGATATGGATGGGAAGTTAAGACTCAAGGTCAAAATCAAGGTCACGGCAATATTCACACCTAAAGGCCAATCCACTGATCAACACCAAATAGTATTTTATAGAACATGGTGGCTTCGCGCAAAAATTAAAGTATACGAAAATTATATTAATTTTTATGAACTGCAGAGATAGGCAGCTAGTGCAGTGTGTCGGTTTCCGTCTTAGTGTCTTGTTATTCGAGTCTAAATAGTAAACAAAGCAAATGGCGTCAAACAGATAAAGTTCTCTCTCGTTAGAAATTAAAAGGTCGGTAAAATAAAAAGTTATTGATCGATTCGGCTGAAATTTGGTGTGTGGTCATTGCTAGTCCCCCGTAACATCCTCTAATAATTTCAAGTTCCTACGACCGCAGGAACTGGTAGAGGTACGAAAGTGCAATAGCGCCGGTTTTTATTTGTGCTAACTTCATTTCGAATCCAGGTGCTAGAATACGGGTGAGAGATTCCGCTCGGTAATATTACATCTGCCTGATGAAAACTACCATAAACACATTTATAATTATTTAACTTGGATATTTCTTTTCTACATTAAATTTCATTACCGGGTATGTGAATTTATCATAGTTTGTGAAAAAATTTCTACTGTATTCTCACCTTTGTTACATTATGTTTATTGTGCTGTCATACCATCCTCCACTTTATTTATTTTTTTGCAAACGTCTTCAAATTCAAAATAACTTTCGATTTCTTTGACTTTCGAGAACTGGAGTTATTTCCCTATAATTATTTTAAAATGAAATGGGATTCCACAACTTTCTAACCAAAATATTTGTTTCTTTGGCTTTAAAATATTTTTTCTTTGTTATTTGGCTTAATATTTTTCTTTGTTTTTTTGGCTTTTTATTTTTCTAGAACAAAATGATTTTCCTAAGACAATAGAACGTCACAATGCTATTGAATACGGGCGAATTTTGATATCTTCAAAGTGAATTTCGGCGAATTCCGGTGATTGTAAATGAATTCCCGTGATTGTAAATGGATTCCGGTGTATTCCGGTGATCAGTCTACCCGCTATCTTTCACTCGGCAAACCTCAGCAGATTCCAGTACCCTCCATCCAATCTGTTTTACAGACCTAATGCGACATCCGTCTTTTATCTCTGTCCAAGATGACTGACCTTCAAAAGGTCAGACCGCTGTAGTACTAAGGGTGACGTCACATCACAATGTTTACCAACAAAGCAAGATGGTATCGATAACGCCAAAAAAGATTACTTCTGTGGCTTGTTTTTGTTGTTTTAAAACAAACACGAGCAGGTCAATCAGATTAGACGGTAAAAAATGTACTTCTGAAAGAATTCAGAGTAAACAAACACAAAAAAACGTTGTTTACATCGAACGTAGTAATATGAACTGGTACGGGTAAAATTATATCGTTTTACCCATTTTACGCCTCCGCGTACTATTTTCTGTACCTATTTACGCTAAATATGGAATATTTTTTATAAAGATATACTTCAAACATTAAAATCATATCGTTTTACCCATTTTACGCCTCCGCGTACTATTTTCTGTACCTATTTACGCTAAATATGGAATATTTTTTATAAAGATATACTTCAAACACCTTTATTTATTTTTCTCATACTAAAAAAAAATGTTTCAGAATTTAATTTGTCGAAAGAAAAAAGTTAATATTTTGTAGTCAATAAGTCGCATCGATGTCATCCTTATCAGTGATTGTAGCGGCCAAGCGAATATTCACTGCGGATCAGTGTGCCCTCCATCTAGAGTAACGGAATCGCCGAGGTTTGCCGAGTGGCTAATCTTTAGCACCACAACATGTCCGGCTAATAGCTTTAAATTTCTCTCGAGATAAGTGGGCCACAAAATGAGTTACAAGAATCTGTCGAATTTATGATAGTAGGCAAATATCTCGACAAATTAAAGACGACTGGATGTAATAATAACACATGGTTATTTCTTTCACTGATATTGCTACCAGAACGTTATAATATAAGCTCCTTCCATTGATGCGCACCTGTTAGAAATTTGAGCCTTCTTGTATCACTACGCTGGCCGCCATTGTAATGTCTGGATGTGAATTAATGTACCTTTATCGCTGTCAAACAGCTATTTAAGGAATCCGAGCCTGATGCGGCCGATTCCCTGCCGCTAGGGGCTATGGATCAATATGAAAAAGTGTATAAAAAAGATAGTAAGCTTTATAAAGAAGGGTTTGATCTTTTCGAGGCGCAAACCAATTCCTTTTTTTGGGATGAAGTGACAGCAAATTCTCGATCATCGAGTTTGTCATCATCAAGACAGGAATTAGCCAACCTACACATGAATCATGCCGCAAATCATTCTATAAACGCTGGACAAGTTCGTTATTCGCCCAAAACAATGTTTAGGTCAGTGTATAATGGCCCAGGTGAAAAGTCAGATATCAGTGTTACAACGACATCAGTGAATGTAAGTGATACAAAACCTCCAATACCAACATCAATAGGACATGCTCATGCTGGAAATACTTATGCTGCTTATTCATCATCAAAAATTATTAACCAAGAAGTTCCACCCTTTCCTACGTCTCTCAGTGGATTAGACTCTAGAAGTGTTTTATACGGAAATAAATACTCTACATGTCAAGAAGTGAAAACAATAATGAACAATAGTCAACAACAATCTGTTTATGCAAATTTACAAATGATCAGTGCATCGAAAAATATCTCAAATTCAAATTATTCAAGTCCCAGATCTAGTTTAGGTAGTGGTGGTGAGGGTTCTTCAAAAAACTCAAGTCCACGGACAAGTCTAACCAATCCTCCCCCACCTCCTCCTTATGATCAACGTTATGGTAGTCCTAGATCAAGTCTGGCTAGCCCACGTTCAAGTTTAAGTGCAACATCGTTGGAATCTAAACATTCTAGTCCAAGAGCAAGTTTGACGGGTGGAGTGCTGCTTGATAAATATCCCAGTCCACGGACCACTTTGTCAAGTCATCAAGATAGAATATCTGTCCAAAGGCTTATAGGTTCTGATGACTATGAACTTCAGTCAGATGGATCTGTCTCGGGCCAAAACATGCATCATATGCATCATAATTTATTCAGTCTTGGTCCTCGTAATTCGGCATTGTTGAATGACAATCGGTTTAATGAACCGGCACCATATACAGATCCAAGACTTCAAACGCTTCCACCTCAAAGACAAGCAAGTGTACATAACGTAAGCATAGCAAGGAATACAAATAACCAAGGATCTGCACAGCCGCATGGCATACACTCACATCAAAATGGAGGGCATGTAATCTCGTTATCGTCACCAGTTCAGTCAAGTGCTCCATCTGGACAACCTCCCTCTCTTCCTGCTCGTGTCCCTTTAGCTTATGACACTGTTCCTCCCAGAACACCTGGACCAACTGATGCTGAAAAGAAACTTGCAGCATTGACTTTACAGCTGGAAAAAGAAATGTGCATTTCAAGTTCTGGTGTAAAAAAGTCTCCATCAGAGCCCCCTCCACCCTATCATGGGTCACATATATTGGAGTCTGTTGAAAATCTGGCTTCAAATGTTCGTTACACTGTTGGTGCTGCTAAAGGTGTGGAAATAAATAATCAAGATCTGAATAGTCCACCTCCATCCTCTAAGGGCTTCCGGGGTGTTACAAAATTACCATACCAGGTTACCCCTCCTCCATCTGTTGGGCCATCGGAAGCCGAGAAGAAATTGGCTACTTTAACTCAAGAGTTGGAAGATGAAATGGAGAAAGCTCCTCCTGGGGAATATTTTGGTAATGATTTTGTAATGCTAAATTTTTCTGTGATATTACATGTATGTATTATGAAATTGCATAATGTATAACAGGCCACGAAATTTCACGCGAACGATACCAATCGGTTACGTGCTGTCGCGCCAGCTCAAAAACATGCGAACGATTTCCTGGTTACGCAAATTGAAATATCGGTTACGTTAACAAATTTCATTAACAGATTTATTCACATTTGATCAATTTTTATACAGGATGACTTTGTGACACGGGTCTAAATTCTTTGTATTATAGCACAAACTCTATTCATTCATTCTTGGCATTTCATTTCTCCATCTTACCGGTACTTTGACAGATCACGTATTTTGACACCAGGTAGGCTATTGACCAGTTGCAAGCAGGTTGATTTAAAAATGCCCCTCACCCCTAATTCTTTAAATGATTAGTTATGCCATAAATATTTGAAAGCGTAACTTTGGATTTTCAAACACAAAATGAGAAGTGAGTTTGACTATTTAACATGTCGGCTATATTTCCAAAGAATTTACTACTCGTGCTCCTTTCAGTTTTCACTATAGCCATGCTGTAGTACCAATGACCCGTATGTATGTCGTCAACTTTGACCCCCTTCCCCCCCCCCCCCCCACGCTCCAGCCATAATGTAAACGATTTTACTGTCCTGCCTATTTTAATATTATTTCATGACATCAATCAAACTGTTCTGTTTCCTGTTGAGACCTTGTGTATAGAGTGTCGAGGTTTATAATAAATACTGTTTGTCAATCAGTCGCTACCTATGAGTGAGGCTATCTCATGCTACGTGCTTGGATGAATGATTGCAAGTGACAAGTGTAATATGAAGTAGCTTGTAGTCTTCAGTGACCGAAAACAATGTGGTAGCTACCATTCCTGGTTTTTGAAGGTCAGATACATGTATGATATAAAAACGAAAATCCATTAGTAATTTTTGGAACCAATTCCCCTCATTATTAAAATGTAGGGATTTAGTGAAGTGGAACATTTTTTTTCTAATGTTTTATTGTTTAAATGGGGACACCGTGAGATTAAAGTCATAAACACTTAACATCAAAATATAATATTACATATAAAAGAATATAAATTAGTCAAGTTATTTCTTTAAAAAATACATTCACTGCAAGTGGAAATGAATAATAGCACCATTTAAATCTGGATAAAACATGAAAACAGCGCAACCATTTTATGTAACCAATCGGTTACGCAATGGTCATCTGGCGTAACCAAAGAAAATGGTTACGCAGAGCATAAACCCGCAACCATTTTTCTGGTTACGCCAAAATTTGAAATTTCGTGGTCTGTATAATTAAAAGAATGAATTGATAGTTTGATGTAAAAGTTTTTATAATGAATAGGCAGACACAAGATAATTGCAGTATAAATGTCAAATGCTGTTACATTATTGTGAAAGTGATGATTGTAATAGTAAATGCAGAAGGGCCACACCACACATAAATAGAAACCCATAAGACAAAACCGCGGATATACAGAAACATTGTAAGCCATAAACATATTAGATAAGGTGGCTAATCTATTGAAATCCTAACAATTAAATTACGTTTGAACTTTATTGTTAAACATACATTATGCAAGAGCTAAATCTGTCTATTTGCAGGTCTTTCTCTATTATTTAATAATGACGTTTCGTAACACATACAGGTCACGTTTTCAAGACGTTTCGTAACTTCGTAACATGTGTTACGAAACGTCGTTATTAAATAATAGAGGAGTAAGTTACATCTATATATACCCTGTGTTCTGTTTTGTTATGAATAGTTAACAGTGCTTCTAGATGTCATTTAAAGAATTGATTAATTAAAGATACATTATGGGAGATTTTAATAGAGAGTTGGCCATTCTTGCTATAACAGTTGAAAAATAGATGATGAAAGAAGAATATATTGAAAATTTCAGTCAAATTACTTTATTCTGAACAATGTTATCACCATTGTAATTTTTGACTAGAAATAGGAGTCAACACTCTCTTTATCTTCTCCGAGAATGGTCGATCGTTTGATTGACAGGCGTTAACTCCACCTACATAATCTTGATTATCAAGTAATGTTTGTGTGTGTTTTCAATGGCTGTGGTACCATTAGCCTATTCGGTTTCAGACGGGGTTGCAATTCAATTCATATCACATTTATTTTTACTACAAATTAAAAATAAGACTTTTAATATATAGATAAGAAGCGAAAGGTTGAAAGGAATGGACCAAATCAATGAGGCATAATTATAGCCGACTTCTTGTTAGCTTGCGTGTACTCTTGTACTGTAACCGGTAGGCCTACGTGACTCCCAAAGCAGACAAATTTCAAATAGGAAACAGTGATCCAATGGGGCTGCAATTCAACTGGGGTGGTGTTAGCTGCGATGTTTATCAATTTCCATAATTTTTCTGTAAACGCAAGTGACAGAAGAGCGTATAATACCGATATCCCAACTCTCATTTTAACCACAACTAAACACAATATCAAGGCCGTACATATCAAACTTTCAATTAAATTGACTGACATGCGGCCTCGCTTCGTACACTATCATTTAGCCTCGAGGATGGCGTCAACGGCTCAACGCAACGGTTAATCTCCGCTTACGACGCCATTTAAAAATTTAATCAATCAATGAAATCATGTTTAAATCCAAGCCATCCGTGGGTCAACAGAGTTGATTTTGTGCTTGTTGTGTAAATAAAGATCTAATTTATAATTTCTATGACATCTGAAGCCTAAATAAAGACTTGCAATAATCAGATTTAGCTCTTGCATAATGTATGTTTAACCTATCCAGCCCATTATCATCTCTTGGTGGCGTCACTAGCCTGCGATCTTTAGTGGATTATGAGCCGATTCACTGCATAACTTTCCATCACGATTTAACGATTAAATGGATAATCAAGACTATGCCGTTTATCTTACTGACTTTAGTAATCATGATCGAGGCTAGGCGGAAATTTCAATTGCTTAACTCTCATTTCATAGTGGATGAATTTGAATGAAATTTTCAGCAAATTGCCTTTACATTATCTAGTTTTTATACGCCAACATTGAAATGTGGACGTATATTGCCGTCGCCTCCATCTGTCGGTCCGTCGGGTCTGTCCATCGTCCACAATTTCTTGTGAATGCTTTAACGCCAAAAATTACCATCCAATTGTTTTAAAATTGATATATCTTGTTTACATTAGTGAGATGAAGAGGCCTATTTAATTTCAATAATTTCCATTTATTACGTCTAGAGTTATATGGCCTTGTTTCACTTTATTGAACCTTGTGAACGCTCTAACGCCAAAAGTTATCACCCGATCTTTGTGAAATTTATATGCATGATTTGTATTAGTGAAACGAAGAAGCCTATTGAATTTCAGCAATTTCCGTCAATTACTTCTAGAGTTATGGCCCTTGTTTCACTTTGTTGCACCATGGGAACGCTTTAACGCTCTGCCGATCTGTATGAAATTTACATGTGTCATTTAAATTAGTCAAGAGAAGAATCCTTCTGAATTTCAGCAATTTCCGTTTATTACTTCTAGAGTTATGGCCCTTGTTTCTCTTTGTGAATGCTCTAACCTCTAAAGTTAACTGCCGATCTCTATGAAATTTATATGTGCCATTTAAGTTAGTAAAAAGAACAATCCTATTGAATTTCAGCAATTTCCGTTTATTAGGTCTAGAATTATGGCTCTTTTCACTTTATTGAACCTTGTGAACGCTCCAACACCAAAAGTTATAATCGGATCTTTGTGAAATTTATATGCATTATTTAAATTAGTGAAACCACGAACCCTATTGAATTTCAGCAATTTACAGTAATTACTTCTAGAGTTATGGCCCTTGTTTCACTTTGTTAAACCTTGTTAATGCTCGATTGATGAAAGTTATCATCCGATATGTATGAAATTTATATGCATCATTTAAATTTGTGAAATGTCAGAGGTCTATTGAATTTCATCAATTTCCGTCAATAATATCTAGAGTTATGGCGATTGTGAACCTTGTGAACGTTTGAATGACAAAAGTGATCATGTGATGTGTATGAAATTTATATGTATTATTTAAATTAGTAAAACAAAAAAGCCTGTCAAATTTCAACAATTTCTGTAGATTACTTCCAGAGTTGAGACCCTTTTTTATACACCCACATTGAAATGTGGACGTATATTGCCGTCGCCCCCGTCCGTCTGTTGGTCCGTCAGTCCGTCCGTCCATCGTCCACAATTTCTTGTGAACGCTCTAACGCCAAAAGTTGTCATCCAATTGTTTTAAAATTGATATATGTTGTTTACATTAGTGAGATGAAGAAGCCTAATTAATTTCAATAATTTCTGTTTATTATGTCTAGAGTTATGGCCCTTGTTTCACTTTATTGAACCTTGTTAACGCTCTAACGCCAAAAGTAATCATCCGATCTTTCTGAAATTTATATGCATTATTTAGATTACTGAAACGAAGAAGCCTATTGAATGTCAGCAATTTCCGTTTATTACGTCTAAAGTTATGGCCCTTGTTTCACTTTATTGATCCTTGTGAAAGCTCTAACGTCAAAAGTTATCATCCGATCTTTCTGAAATTTATTTGCATTATTTAGATTACTGAAACGAAGAAGCCTATTGAATTTCAGCAATTTCTGTTAATTACGTCTAGAGTTATGGCCCTTGTTTCACTTTATTGATCCTTGTGAACGCTCTAACGTCAAAAGTTATCATTCGATCTTTCTGAAAATTATATGCATTATTTAAATTAGTGAGACGAAAAAGCCTATTGAATTTCAGCAATTTCTGTTAATTACGTCTAAAGTTATGGCCCTTGTTTCACTTTATTGAACCTTGTGAACGCTGCATCACCAAAAGTTATCACCGAATCTTTGTGAAATGTATATGCATTATTTAGATTAGTGAAACGAAAAAGCCTGTTGAATTTCAGCAATTTCCGTTAATTACGTCTAGAGTTATGGCCCTTGTTTCACTTTATTGAACCTTGTGAATGCTCCATCACCAAAAGTTATCACCGAATCTTTGTGAAATGTATATGCATTATTTAGATTAGTGAAACGAAAAAGCCTATTGAATTTCAGCAATTTCCGTTTATTACGTCTAGAGTTATGGCCCTTGTTTCACTTTATTGATCCTTGTGAACGCTCTAACGCCAAAAGTTATCACCCGATCTTTGTGAAATTTATATGCATGATTTGAATTAGTGAAACGAAAATACCTATTGAATTTCAGCAATTTACAATAATTACTTCTACAGTTATTGCCCTTGTTTGATTTTGTTAAACCTTGTTAATGCTTGATTGATGAAAGTTATCATCCGATATGTATGAAATTTATATGCATTATTTAAATTAGTAAAACGAAAAAGCCTGTCAAATTTCAACAATTTCTGTAGATTACTTCCAGAGTTGAGACCCTTGTTTCAGTTTGTAGAACCTTGTAAACCCTCAAAACGACAAAATTTATAATCTGATTTGTATGGAACTGTCTTGTAAAGACCCCCAATTACCTACAAAGGAATAAATATTCGACAACCCTTGTTGTGGGCGTATGTTTTGTTGCCTGGCAACCTATCTTTACAGTTTGTATGGAACTGTCTTGTAAAGGCCCCTAATTACCTACAAAGGAATAAATATGCGACAACCCTTGTCGACTGCTCGGACAATTTAGCTGCTGTGGGCGTATGTTTCGTTGCCTGGCAACCTATCTTTAACTATTATAGTGAGAACTTCCAACTCGTTATCGAATCTCCCGTAATGTATCTTTAACATTTTAAAAAATATTAACAGTAATTGAAGTTTGAATTAATTTCCTTCAATTTGTAAAATTAATTGACCTAATAAGTCAAAATAATGTGTTGAGTTGGTTTGATTTGGTATGTTGTTTTGATTATTTATTGATAGGATAAGATTTATGCAATTATTTTTGTGTTAAAGTATTAAACAGTTGTTTGTTTTACTAATTTTTAATTGGTTATAAAAATTATGCACATATCTCAATGTTGACGCTATCTGTGAACTTAAAATGTTAGATGGATACTCACTTCACAAAACAAATCAGTACATTAAATTTAATCAAATTAACACTTCTAAAGGTAATCATTTTTAGGTTTCGGGTATTGTTATTTTAAACCATGTTATTTGTATTTTGTGTAATTTCAGGTCAGTGTTACACTTGTTGTGAAAGAGTATCAGGATCTACAGATGCTTGTCAAGCTATGGGTAACCTTTATCATACTAGATGTTTTACTTGTTGTTCTTGTGGTAAGTATAACAAATAGTATGATACATTCATATATTCAGATAAAAGACAGCAATTACAAAGCATTCATAGTAGTGTGTCCCATTCTTGGTCTGCAGACCCGTTATAAATTTATTTCTTGTGGCCTTCAAGCTCAAAATAACCAGCAAAGAGCCTATGATGAAGAAGCCTATTTAATTTCAATAATTTCTGTTTTTAATGTCTAGAGTTATGCCCCCTGTTTCACTTTGTTGAACCCCGTGAACGCTCTAATGCCAAAATTTATATGCAATATTTAAATTAGGGAAACGATTAAGCCTATTGAATTTCACCAATTTCCGTTTATTACTTCTAGAGTTATGGTCCTTGTTTCACTTTGTTTAACCTTGTGAACGCTCTAACCCCAAAAGTTATCATCCTATCTTTCTGAAATTTATATGCATTATTTAAATTAGTGAAATGAAGAATCCTATTTAATTTTAATAATTTCCGTTTATAACGTCTAAAGTTATGGCCCTTGTTTCACTTTGTTGAACCTTGTGAATGCTCTAATGCCAAAAGTTAACATCCGATCTTTGTGAAATTTATATGCAATATTTAAATTAGGGAAACGAAGACGCCTATTGAATTTCACCAATTTCCGTTTATTACTTCTAGAGTTATGGCCCTTGTTACACTTTGTTTAACCTTGTGAACGCTCTAACCCCAAAAGTTATCATCCTATCTTTCTGAAATTTATATGCATTATTTAAATTAGTGAAACGAAGGAGCCTATTTAATTTCAATGATTTCTGTTTATAACGTCTAGAGTTATGGCCCTTGTTTCACTTTGTTGAACCTTTTGAATGCTCTAATGCCAAAAGTTAACATCCCATCTTTGTGAAATTTATATGCAATATTTAAATTAGGGTAACGAAGACGCCTATTGAATTTCACCAATTTCCGTTTATTACTTCTAGAGTTGTGGCCCTTTTACTTCTAGAGTTATGGCCCTTGTTTCACTTTGTTTAACCTTGTGAACGCTCTAACCCCAAAAGTTATCATCCTATCTTTCTGAAATTTATATGCATTATTTAAATTAGTGGAACGAAGAAGCCTATTTAATTTCAATAATTTCCGTTTATAACGTCTAGAGTTATGACCCTTGTTTCACTTTGTTGAACCTTTTGAATGCTCTAATGCCAAAAGTTAACATCCGATCTTTGTGAAATTTATATGCAATATTTAAATTAGGTAAAACGAAGACGCCTATTGAATTTCACCAATTTTCGTTTATTAGTTCAAGAGTTATGGCCCTTGTTTCACATTGTTTAACCTTGTGAACGCTCTAACCCCAAAAGTTATCATCCTATCTTTCTGAAATTTATATGCATTATTTAAATTAGTGAAACGAAGAAGCCTATTTAATTTCAATAATTTCCATTTATAACGTCTAGAGTTATGGCCCTTGTTTCACTTTGTTGAACCTTGTGAATGCTCTAATGCCAAAAGTTAACATCCGATCTTTGTGAAATTTATATGCAATATTTAAATTAGGGAAACGAAGACGCCTATTGAATTTCACCAATTTCCGTTTATTACTTCTAGAGTTATGGCCCTTGTTTCACTTTGTTTAACCTTGTGAACACTCTAACCCCAAAAGTTATCATCCTATCTTTCTGAAATTTATATGCATTATTTAAATTAGTGAAACGAAGAAGCCTATTTAATTTCAATAATTTCCGTTTATAACGTCTAGAGTTATGGCCCTTGTTGTTACAATATCAATATTTAGATATTGTTTATGTTAGTATTATTTAATTGTATTGTGCATCACTGTATGTAGGCCTATTATTAATGTTGTGCATCACATCAGGGGAGTTAACTCTGTTTTATAAAAAGTTGGACTGTCATGGCTTCTTTCTTAAACAATGCCTCAAAACCAACTTAATTTGAACTTTTATGTGAAAAAATCCTATCATTAACCTACAATGAATAATCCTATACCTGAAAATGAACCTGTCATTGATCCTGTTGTCCTGCAGACTGCTGTAGCCGCAGCAATGTTTGCCCTGCAAGCGCTGAAATAAGCGTCCGGACACGGACAATGTCCGGGCGAATTGACCCCTTTTGACAGGCCAAATTGCCTTTCGTCCGGACATAATTGTCCGACCGTGTTTTTGTAAAACATTATGTCAAAAATATTTGAGTCGATCGCTATTTATTAATAGACTCGAAAGTCCAGAACCAAAAATATCAATGACCCGAGTCATCGTGAAAATGTTACTATTTATATCTCGGCCGCGTGCAGATAAAATCTTCAATAATTTTTAGAATCGATCACTCTTTTACGCTGGTTATATCAACGACCCGAGTCATAGTAAAAATATTACTATTTATACATGTATCTCTCTCGGCCACGTGAAGAAAAAATAATGAATAATATTGAGAATCGGCTCTTTTACACTGGTTATTCGAGTCTCGTAGCTAGCTTTGCGTTACTTTCGTATATGATTAGCTCTAAATCACACCTAACATGACATGTAATTATATAAATTATTAGTAATAAAAGTAATAATATTTTAAAATTAGTTTACAAGAAAATGTCCAAGTTGACTATGGATGTAATTAGGGACAGATTTTTTATACGAAAATATCTCACTTTGTTGGACACTTCCAATGTGAATGTAAATAGAAGAGCCGTGAAAACATGTCGAATAAAATAACTTCTTACTTTTCCCAACCCTCGGACACGGATATCCCGGCTAGTGGGACCGTTCCAGAAAATTCAAAGACTGGTACTGTGTCTTAATCTTATGTCTCTCATAAAGACACTTCTAAACGGGGGGCGTCGCCGTCACCAGTTGGAAAATTACAAAAACGAGCCGTAGAACTAGAAAAGTGGATCAAAAATGACTTGGCAGATTCTGAACCATTTACGACAACTCAAGATGTCTATTCTTTAGTTAAATTTGAATCTTAATCAGAGTTTTTAGGATTTAGTCCCCAGCCCCACCAAAGAGATTAATGACATTATTATATGAACTATAAAGTTGTATTCCATATACATATAAAAACTTAAAACTCCAGGTTGTATGTGAGTCATCAATTTATTTTATTAATAAATATGTATGTATAATAATATATATAAACATAGTAAATTTCAACAGTTTTTTGGTTTAATATACTTTATAAAGTATTTGTCAGGCTGAAAATCTGAAATGTCCGGCCGAAAATCAGTTCAGCCTGACATGATGTCAGGCTGAACCTTAGCAGTTATTTCAAGGCTTGTTGCCCTGGTTATCTTGATGTATCTATGAATGCAACCTCTGATGATTTCAAACTTGGGGTACAACGATGGCAAAATTATGAAGTCGTTACTGGCCTTGGCAATCGCCCTCCTGCTGTTAGAAAAGTCCTACATAGGCTCAGATGCCTTGAAAGTTTACAACACTTTTACATTTGAAGATGATGATTACACCATTGAAGATATTACTGAACAATTTAGAACTTACAGTACCGCCGTCACGATGGTTTGACGGGACACGATATTACCATGTTTTTTATCGTGGAATTCCGTGATTTACCGAGTGAACACTGAGCGAATATCGAGTGACACGATAGCACTGCCTCGGTGTTGGAAACACGGTGTGACTCGGTGTTTTAATTAAACCATGCCTCTGATCGTTTATTTTAGGTGAAGTACATGTAGAGCTATACATTGTTATTATAGATCACTTAATGTGTTGGTAGCTACGTGTGAAGATTGGCGTACGCGTTTCTTTGATCTGTTATATCATGGACAGTATATAGGGTTATATCCCAGGGTAATTCTGTTATTTAAACCCGGGCATTGTCATCTTTTAAACAGAAATATGCCTATACCGATACATTATTACTTCATTAATATGTTCGACATTTGTAAGACTTGCATCGATGGACCATTACAATTTCAATCAAATTACTGAAAAATTATAACATGACACCAATATATGCTATTCTTACCGGGGGCGTAGATTTATCCATCTAAATAGTAATTCACATACTGATAAATAATTCTGGTTTAAATCACAAATGAATTAAAAGCCTTTGTCTCCTGATATGTAATCACACAGTCAGAATTCATCGTCAACAAGTTTATGGAACTTTGCTGAATACATGTACATTGACACGTATCAGTCCGATAATACGTTGCTGACGTTTTCATTTCGGCACCATAGAGTCTGGTGGATGGGTAATGTCAATCAAGGTTCCACAATGAGAACTGACACGTGACATGAAAGGAAATCGACTGACAGAACATAGACGCCCCTTTAACAACAAACTATTACCTTGTTGTAGTCTTGTGGTCATGGACAATATGACTTTTATTGTTAATTGTCAGTAGTAATAATTACACATTTTCAAAAGAGATGTCGATTTCTTTTTGATTATACATGTAGCTTCAGTCCATTCAATAACCTGTATTTATTACTCAAATGGTTTCTTAATTAGCAGAATGTCAAAATAAAGAAAACAAAGTTACACTTAAAATATGACTACGGTAATTAAGAAGTTATTCGTTGCGATTTCACGGGGTTGTTAGGATTCGACCCGACATCCACCCAATCCGCTACATGTAATACCAATTTGTAACGAGTAATTGTGATTACTCTGTTACGGTAAAACTCGTATTTTTTTTTTAAATCGGTACAGACTTAAGGTTCACGCATGCAGAGCGGCTTATGAACAAAATGATGTTTAGTCATTTGCAGTTGACATATTCTGCCTTACACCGGTGGTAATCATTTCATTATATTGTGCACAAACGTCATTCCTTAAATAGCCCCACACCCCTTTAACAATTGAATTTTCTGTTAGACCATTTATTCTACACTCTTTGATGTGCTTTCTAGATTAATTAATTTTATAACTATTGAAGAGGACCAGTTGGTTGTTTATATTGTTTTATTTACCTAACGATCAACTAGCTTGATCAACTAGCTTGACTGGCCGTCACGACAGAGATTAGTTCAAGTTCAAGTTTTTTATTCTTTTAAGTCAA